ATAGGTCATTAACTAATTATAACAGTGTCGGACTGCGATAAAGCTTAAAGTAGATTAATTAGACACAAACAATTAACAATAAAACAACATAAGTTCAGCTTTAATGGTGATTTTATAGAATACAAATGTAGAAGTTTCGTAGTTTGTAAAAAAATCATATTTTATAGTTGAACCTATATTGTTTTATTTACATATATTGTTTGTGTCTACTAAACTGACTAGGTCTAGGTCAGCTCGATGGTCTAAAACCCACCATGGTTTCAGCCACAACGCTGCCACGCCACAGGTAAGACAGTGCCGAGAGGCCCGCGACCCAGCATTAATTACGGCCGGCCATCCTTGCTGTATTCTTCTAAACACCGCGATGGCCGATTCTAGACGAGGGGCATAATTGTCTGGCTGAAAGACAACCACCACATGGGTGTCTAGACTCGACCCATACCCGCCCCTGCCCAGGTACTCCCATCTCCAAGTTGAAAACCTTATAATGGAATTTGTTGATCATTAGTTTGTGATAACATTAGCATTTATAACCTCAACCGGGCGAGCTGTGAGTGTTAGCCAGGCCCGGGAGAGTAGTCGGTCGGGGCGAATGGCCGAGCTGTGAGTGCTAGTTAACCTGGGCTGGAAAGTAGGGAGTCGGGGACCGAGCTGTGGGTGCAAGCCGTGCCTGGAAAGTAAGGGGTCGGAGACCGAGCTGTGGGTGCAAGCCGTGCCTGGAAAGTAAGGGGTCGGGGACCGAGCTGTGGGTGCAAGCCGTGCCTGGAAAGTAAGGGGTCGGGGACCGAGCTGTGGGTGCAAGCCGTGCCTGGAAAGTAGGGAGTCGGGGACCGAACTGTGGGTGCAAGCCGTGCCTGGAAAGTAGGGAGTCGAGAACCGAGCTGTGGGTGTAAGCCGTGCCTGGAAAGTAGGGGTCGAGAGAATGGCCGAGCTGAGTGTTAGCCAGGCCGGGGAAGTAGTGGTCGGGGCAAATGACCGAGCCATAAGTGCAAACCGGGCTTGGAAAGTAGGGGGTCGGGGAGAATGGTCAAGCTGTGTGAACCAAGCGGGGTTGGGGGGGGGGTCTGGAGAATGGCCAAGCTGCGAGTTCTAAGCAGGGAAATAAGTAGGACAACACATATTGTGCGATATTGTTGGCCGGACAATGGCTTCAAAGCAATCGAAATCCGTTTACATTGTTGCAGTTTTATTTCTTAATTTATTTTTTAATTAGAGGGAGAACAAATCTGAACACCTTTCTTCAATTTTTATTGGCTGTAGCAAGCCATCCTGTGTGTTACGTCATCACTGGAGCTAGCTTGTAAAGTTTATCGTGAATTCTGTTCCGAGTGAATTCTGCTCTGACTCCCGTCACCTGATGTTCCCTTCTTTTCTCATCTCTCCGCCCCCACCCCTCTCTCCCTCTCTCTCTCTCTCCCTCGTTCTCCCTCTCTCTCTCCATCTTTCTCCCTCTCTGTCTCCCCCTCTCTCTCTCTCCCCTTTCTCCCCCTCTCTCCCCAACAACGGTTAAAGATGTTTACGGTTGTTTAAATTGGCCGGAGGAGGGATCTCTCTGCTTGACCTTGACCTCGCAACGATAACGAGGCTCGGATTTGGGGTAGGCGCGTGGAGGGCCGAGGATAACTTTTAAGAGTTTCTAAACGTCCATTCGGGCAGACTACACAATCGCACGGCGTGTGTTTCATTGGCTGGCCACGTTTATTTTCTGGTCATGGTTGTTGTCAGAGGGACGTTTGGGGAGGTAGAGGGTCGCCGAGTCCGGTAAAAAAAAAAAATTAATTAAAAACTTTGGGCTTCAGAAAGATATCCTACTCTGGAAAATGACGTCATGAAGGTGTTTCAAAATTTTCGAAAAGCGAAAAACAAAATGGCAACAAAAAGAATCAGTGATCCTAACTGAAAAAAAATTAATTAAACCAACCCCTAAAAATTAAGTTTTTCGTAAAAATCATTTTAAAAATGTAACATCGAGCATTGGTGGGGGGGGGGGGGAGGAAAGTGGGGGGGGTGGTTGTGGACAAAAAGTTTTCACAAAGTAACGCACTGCATAAGAATCCCAAACAGTCCCCCCCCCCCCCAACCACCACCACCACTCAGTGTCGCAACTGCACATTTTGTTCACGCCCCTAAACTATATTAATATTCTAATGACACGCCGGCTTTTACACCGCAGATTTCTTTCGCCAAACTATTTCTGAAAGACAAAAGAAAATAGTACGCACCAAATGCACTTGCGTTATCTATACATTATAATTCGCCAGCAAAGGTCAAACGCCACCACCACGCAGGCTATATATCGTTAACAAGTTCATTAGCGCGCAAAATATCATTCCCGATAACTACGCTAATAATAACGCTACTTCGTTTGGTGCGTAATATTTTTAGATAAATGAAATCATCTCAATTTAAGGATGGTGTAAAAAAAGTATTCAGTTTAAAAGTGTTCGGGACATCAGAATATTTAATAGAGTTCATGGGCGTGAAAAAAAAAAGTATGCAGTGACGTACCATGGTTGGGGGGGGGGGGAGAGAGGGTAGCAAAAATTGGAATTCCTAAATGTGCGATACCTGAGTTAATGTTTCGTTAAGTAACTTTAGTAGATGGGAAGTTCCCTCATTGCCGTCGCCAATGTTTGGCGGGCTATAACTAGTTGAACTTATATTTCCACGTCAATGTCTTCATGACACGTCAACTCAGAGATTTCCAATTTCATGATATAATCTAACACGACATCTAGCAGACTTGGAGAGANGAATTTTAGAGAGTGTGATGTCATCGGCAACGAGTCTGTGTCTTTCAAGTTTCAGCTCGATAGGTTAACGGGAAGTGGTTCAATTAGCCGTCCGAAACATACGTACAAAGGCGAAGTTAATATTAAAGATTTTTTTTTTTTTTTTTAATGACCACGGTGGCAACCGAAATGTTTCCAGATGTTACGCAGTAGCCATCTTGTGTCCTGGAGTTGCAACGTTATCTCAGTTGCCGAATTCAAACCTTTCAAACTGTTAGACTGATTTATGGAACAACGCAATGTCCAGGGCAGACAGTTTAAAAACTGTTCACGGAAGTATGTTCTTTCAAAGCCGCGGTGTCTGATGGCTCTTATAACAATAATTCTAACTAGACCAACCATAAAATTATTTTCGCTGCTACGTCTTAAATATGTGTTTTCCAATGGTCTTAGGCGACCCTTGTGTAAGGGTCGTTCGACCCCCACCACCCCCCCCCCCCACAAAGGGGTCGCGACCCACATGATGAGAACCGCTGGACTAAACGGGCTCCGGTGAATAAGAACTTTAAAGAAATTAATTCCTTTTTTGTCATTACTAAAACTAAACGAGACATTTACATAAATGACTAACATGAGATTATTATTATTACTATTATTATCATTATTTAATTGAGCACATTATCAACACAAACGATTTCAAGGCCGCGTGTTACCAAAGAGTGTACAAACAGGACAACCGGACCAGGCAGACGAAAATCATTTACTACCCTCACAATATTTGCTGTATTAATGGTGCGCGGGGCGTGCCGCCCCCACTTCCACACGCACACACAAAACTCGGCAGTTGGCCGAAAATTCCGCTCCTCCACATAAAAATAAAGAAGAAAAAAAGTGGCCGAATAAACCTACCACTTTAATAGAGGGATATAGATCTAAAGAAAAAATGTGGCCAAATAATCTTTCCAACTCAATAGACGGATACAAAGAAAATGAGTTAATGTTAATTATTATATTGAGATTTCAGCCCAATGTATGGTTTAAATTATTACTATTGTTATGAGGACATTTTAGCACGCCCCCGATATTTTAACATCTCTAATTATTGGCAATCTCCGGAGGTAACATCAATCGCCATCTTTCTTGTCATCGACCCACTAACGTGACAAGGGGAATAACTGAATTATAGAAATGTATCGTTTTTTACATTATGGCCCATTAAAGTCGATTTTTTGTTAACATGGCATCCACTGAAGTGTAGCTCTTTACAACATGGCATACGCTACATTGTAGCTCTCCACAACATGAAATACGCTACATTGTAGCTCTCCACAACATGAAATACGCTACATTGTAGCTCTTCACAACATGACATACACTTCAGTGACGCTCTTTACATGAAATACATTACATAGTAGCTCTTTTAAACAAAGCTGATTGGCTTCTACATTGTAATTCGTATCCTACTATCAGTCATATTATAGCTTAACCAGTGCCGTACTTAGGGTTAGTTCCGCCCAGCAATCTACGTGCTTTTTCCACCCCTTCCACCATAATAAACTCTGCAGTTGTCAGAAAATGCCCCCCCCCCCACCCTCACCTTTTTTTCCAGTGAGGAAAATAATGGCTTCTGGAGCAAACCGCCCCCTCCTCACCAGTCACATATTACATAAGACTTATTCTTACCTCACCAGTCACATATTACATAAGACTTATTCTTACCTCACCAGACACATATTACATAAGACTTATTCTTACCTCACCAGACACATATTACATAAGACTTATTCTTACCGCACCAGTCACATATTACATAAGACTTATTCTTACCTCACCAGTCACATATTACATAAGACTTATTCTTACCGTTTTACAGTGTTTGCAAATATTTCTTAAATAATTATACAGTGTCTCTGATTTCAATCATTTAATCACAATTTAATACAAGTCCAAAAGTTAAAAAAAAATTTCCCTTGATTTTCACTTCAAGATCCAAGTATTTGGATTCTTATCCAATCAACGACGTGGGCCTACAGAAATATATATATATATATATATATATATA